GTGAACCTGATGTCACCTTACCACGGCGACGATAATATGATAATGAATGACATTTATAATAGAATTTTGTTTTGAATCATTTTAGTAAGCAAGTTGTGTCCAAGCTCATCTCTTTTTAGCTGAAAAATATGACCTTCCAAAATGTTTCAATACATGGAAACATAATTCAGCATCCGTACAGTCGGCCTATATGTGTTGTAGCATTAATTAGGAAATATTAAAGGATCAGAATTGTACTTGAGGACTTTTAAAACTTTTTGTAGTCATCATAATAAGTGAAATAGACTGAGAATTCAAACAGAGAACCTGCTATGTTTATTTTCTAGTAATATGGACATTGTGTTTACCAAGGCTGTGATATTTATTTCAATTGTGCAATACACCAAAACTAAAACTGTATTTTTACAGTTTTTCTCTACACTGTAAAGTCTATTAAGTTAGTCTTGAAAAAACCTAGGAAACTGATTGCCTTGAAAATTATGATGAAAGTGAACTGTGAATCTAAAGATTTTGTAGATGTCCTGAACATAACTGGAAATTAATATTGCTGCACTGTGTAAGATACTGGACAGATACATGAAATATGATACTTAGTATGTGCTGTAGTACTTTGTTGTACTGTTTCTGATTTGTCTGTTTCCTCTTGCTGTATTTATGAAGATGAACTGGTGTCAAGATGATGCTCTGATAAAGGAATAAAGGGTAGGCATAATAAGTTTAAGCTTCAGCCTACACATTTTTACTCTGTGTATGTTAAATATGACTGTCTGTGAATTAATGTCAAAATATGCCTGTGACCGAAATAAATAATCAGTAATCAAATACAGAGCTGTCAAAGTCCATGTGTGAATTCATTCGATTAATCAAAGAAAATGTTGCATAAATCATGAAATAATGTAAACTAATGACATGATGTGTTTTGACTGGTGAGGTACAGAGGGTGGGTTGAATGTTATGAGGAAAATAGACCTTATGAGTTACAGAACACTCAAGGTCAGTATAGACCAAACCAGTTGCTGTCAACATTAGAGCCAGTGCCACCCGCAAGCAGCAAAGAAGGGCCTTTGCTAACTAAACGTGTAGTTTTGTCATGTACATGCCTAGACCTAATCTGTGTCGGACTTTAAATATATATATGAAATGTGTACACTTCAGAATTAAAACATTTGAATGATAATTGGGTTCTTTTTGTAACTGGACTGGCATCACTAAGAGACAATATAAATAGAGATTCAATAGCAAGGATCACAACACAACAATGGTATATGATTAAGATCCATCTATCTTTTCAGCTTCCTGTTTATAGGTGACATTTTTGAGGACTTTTTCCTATTCTAAAGATGTATTATATGCTTTGAATTATTAATTGTTATGGAAACTGCAGTATTTTTATCACTCTGAAACCCATGGATATCCTATAACACCATATTATTTATGTGACTAGTTATATTCTCAATCAAACTCATATTTGAGTAATTTATTTGATTTTATGAGAAGGTACATTACTGTCCCTAAAGGGAAATTTGTCCTCTGCATTTGACCTGTCCTTCAATGACTTTGCGTTTGTTACTGTCTTAAAAACATGAAAAATGCAAGATGCATTTTATTATTTTTTTTATTTTTATATTTTGTGTGTGTGTGTGTGTGCGTGTGTGTGTATACATCCTATATGTATAGCAGGCCCTTAGATTCAATCAAGATGTAGACAGCTTCGACTGGTGCCAATATTTTTAATGATTTAAACCACAACTAGCAGAGTGAAAACTACACGGGAAAGAAAATCAAATATACTAACATAAATGGTGACTAAACAAAAATTGTCCACATTTACTTGGATCTAGCAAGCTCTGAGAGCAGTGCTTTACTTCTGTAGGGATGTGGTTGAACTGGTAAGTTTAGGGCGCCATCTACTGGACTGGCTGACATATATATATATTATATATTATATATCATATATTATATATATTCTATTACCATTATTGTAGTGTATGTAACATCGTGCTAAATGTACATTTGTCAATGATATAACATCTCATAGAGTGGCCATCTGACACTGAAGAAAGAGAGGGGCATGTTGAATGTGATTGTACAGGGCCAGACTCAACAAATTTAAGCTCATCAGTTAATAATAACTTCATTAACACTATATGATTTTAATTTTTTATCAATCGTAACACACAGAAAAAAGATCACTGAAACCCAGCACACCCAAGTTGATAGCTGGTAGCTGATAGCTGATAAGTTACATTACTCTAATTGCCACTGTGTTTGACATGTCTTTTTATACGCATAACTTATCACAACTTGCAGCACGTAGGTCATTATAAAAATAGTATCACCACAGTATAACACTGTGTTCACCCACACTCCTACTGTTTATATTACTACAGTAATGAACAACAATTAAAAATGTTGCTAAAATTAAGTCAATCTTTTGGGTAATGGCACTTTATTAAGTAGATTTTTACACATGTAATTGGATTTGTAACATCTGAATTATGAGACTGAACTAAAATGCTTCTAAAATTGCTTTAAAATGGATTTACTATTACGTACGTTTTACTTAAATATAAATATGGCAGCAGCACACTTACTTGTAATTGAGTATGTATGTATTTACAGTGATGGGAAGAATACTTTGAAAATCTATTTAGTTACAGAACAGTGAATATCTGCATTAAAATGTCTTTTCTAATGAATTCCAATACTTGGCCAATCAGAGATCTACCTGTTCAAAATACTTAGAATACTTTTACATCTAGTTGCATTTAAATTCTAGTGGAAACATGCAACATAGTATTAAAATGTATATATTTGTGGTACTGATTACTGGTTGGCTTGTGTATTCTCAATATGTGTTCTTGGCACATGTATTCATTTCCTTCCTTGTTCTATTTATTTATGTGACTTAACTGTGACTTACTTCAGCAACTTGTCAGTACTCTTTCCACCACTGCTAACAACCCTCTGTCAAAGCCTATAACCCAGTTTGACCATATTATTGTAAACTAGAACATCTCAGGCATCTGTCCCTTGACCACAGTTGAACTTTTCAGTCACACAGTTAACAGCCCAAAGACTGGACACGCATTCCTGTCTGAGACACATGTAGGTTTTCCTCCAAACTACATTTTCTTAAACACAGAAAGAGACAAGGGATTCCATGTGACTATGATCAGAATAGACAACAAGAAGATTGACTCATTTGAGCTTTGGGCCATGTTAAAATGTTGTTACCTCCTCCAAAATATACCTGGAGTTTTGTTTTGTTTCATTCACACTTGTTTGAGTAACCCTTTATTATTAGTCTATCTACATCGGCAAAGCTCAAAATGCTCTGTTCCACCTTGTGATGTCATGTAGTGGTAGTTTTCAACAGCTTTTTATTACCTCTTGTTCAGAAGAGATAGGTAATTCCATGGCTGATATCATCCATGTGATTTTAGTAAAGGTGTGTGGAGTTTGAAAGCACTTCCTGTATCATGACATCACAAGGAGTAAACTCAATAAAACACAGCTTATCTCTTTGGAGTTGTCTGAAATGTTGTCTGAAATGTATATTCCAGTACTACGGCCCTTGTTTATGGAACAACCTGCCGGAGGACCTCAGGGCTGCAGTGAATGTTCATGTTTTTAATAGAGGCTCAAGACCCACCTTTTAAGCTTACATGCATTTATTATACATATTTTACTATATTTATTTATTTTAGGCACTATTAACTTCAATTCCTTTATCTTTTTTAGGATTTCCACTGTTTCCTCTGCAGGAACCCTCTGCATCAGAAGTGGTGGTGGGCTGTAGCTGACGGAGTCTGTCCTGTGGGCTCCTGGTGGAGGGTTGGTGCTTGGGCCTCATCTCTAACCTGGGCCCTGTGGCGGTTCCCAGTGGCCCAGATGGCTCTCTGCTCCTGGTGTAGACGGCTCCTCTGATGATGCTTTTTCAACTGGTTCGCTTGTTTTCAGCTTTGCATTTTATTTGTAGTTTTATGTATTTTAGCATGTCAGTATGTGTGTGAGTGTGTGTGCATGTGCATGTGCATGTGCGTGTGTGTGTGTAAGTGTATGTGTGAGTATGTGTGTGTGTGTGTGTGTGTGAGACTGTTTGGGTTGTTTGGTTGTGTGCGGTCGGGCAGCTGTGGTGGCTGGGTGGATGGAAGGACATGTGGTATTGTTTTTAATCACTGTAAAGCACTTTGTGTTACATTTTTTGTATGAAAAGCGCTTTATAAATGAAGTTTGATTGATTGTTATATCTGTTCAGCTGCAATAGAATAAATGCAAAATAAATGAACATAATGCCACACTGTAGAACATTCCAGTCAAAGCTATAATCTCTCCATGGAGATAAGAAGGTGGAACAGAACATTTTGAGCTTTGGAGATGTAGAAAAACTAATAATAAAGAATTACTCAGACATGTGTGAATGAAACAAAACACAGCTGCAGGTATGTTTTTGAGAAGCTAACAACATTATAACATTATAATGGCAAAAGCTCACCAGTCAAATGTGTGTAGGATCTTTAACCAACGTACAGTTAAATATTTTTGTATATGTGTACGACACTAGAGGGCAGTATTGGCATTGTGTTGTACATAGACTATGCACAGTAGACGCAACACAAATGTACACACAAAATCACTTCTACTGAGACACTAAGGGGCAGTACTGGAGAAGTGGATACAGACAGTTATTGATTTATGCAACAGTTTGGTCCTTTAATTTACTTTTTTATCCTTAATCCCCTCATTATAAATTAATATATTCATATTAAGAAGAAGACTATGAAAAATATGTATATGTATTATGTATTAATTATCATTGGATTGTATTTAATTATATTTTCATTTTTAGATGCCATGTCTTCTCGGTAAATGTTTTTAAATGCATGTTTGTTTGTTTGTTTGATTTATTTATGTAATGTTATGGGATTGGGTCTGACACACTGACTGTATACATGGGGGGAGGACAGGAAGTGGTGAGTTTGTGCAGCAGGTAGGTGGGCGCCATTTACTGTCATCTTCTTTTTACCTTTTCTAATCTGATGGAGGTCAAGATCACCGAACATATGCTGGTCTCTTTATTTTGTTTTATTATAATTTCTTGTGGAGGCAGCCAAGGTAAGACCATGGAGCTACTCATCTCAAGCAAATATAAATTCAATATTGTAATATTAATATATAATATTTTTGTACTGCATTAGGTTCTCTGGGCTGTGATGTTGAGGTGCAGGTGCGAAGAGGACAAGTGTATGCTGTTTCTCCTCATGAATATGTGGAGATCAAATGTCCCGTCCAGCACTGTGGAAAACCTGTGCATGTTGTCTGGTGCAAATTTCTGGACATAAACTTCTGCAAGCAGCTCAATAATTCAGACCACATTCAGATAAAGGAAGGCATGCTGTCAAATGATAGGATGGAGTCTGTTCTAATATTCAAAAAGATCTTTGCAGAGGACAGTGGAGAGTACTCATGTAGAGAAATGAAATATCAAATAGTGGGGCATATGATAAATGTCAATGTTTCAGGTACATTTGATTTTTTAAAATTATTTTCTAATGCTTTTAAAAATGTATTTTGGTTGATTTTCAAACAGCAGTATGTGTACATCTGGTGGTACACGGGCTAGCATGGGCAAAAGCAATTCATTCAAGTTCTGGTTTACAGTGTTCTATTATCCCTCATCTAATCCTGGTTTAGACTTATTTTTTCTTCCTGATTTAATATTATTCAAAAATGGTTAATGTTAAAAATTCCAATACTCTATTTCATTCAGTACCTAACGCTAACTATGTATTTTAATTCACAGAGATGAACCAAGGAGGGCAAAACCATGATAAAAAATCAGGTATGGAAAATTGAATAATTTTAATTTTAACACATTCTAAGATTTATATTGCTTTGTCTTCTTTTAGATCACCCCCAAAACTGTGAGAATGATCAAAGCGTCTCTAATGAAGATGAGATGAAGATGACCGCACTGGTGTATTTTATCATTTTTCTTAGTATAGTTCTTGTCTTATTTGCAATTACAGCCATAGTCCTGCTGAAAATGTATGGCTGCAAATGTAAGATCATTTAATGTGGATTTTATAGAGATTAACAAAGTATTGTAAAGGATCTTAACTTCTGTCTTGTTCCATTTCTAGCGATGCCACGACACCAACCACAAACAAAAGAGGTATGTTGTAATATTCAGTCATTTAAATGTACTTGAATTTATTTGTTCAAATTTCACAATCTTTCTTGATGTAGGAACAGCCATCACACATGTTACCAGGTCTGCCCAGAAGAAGTTCTCCTATTTTGCACCAGTCCTCATGCATCGTGAAGATAGAAGCGCCTTCAAATCACCCAGAGAGGGCCATCGGGGGCCAACTTTTAACAGGTCCAAGTGAAGCTCCAAGCCCAGAATCTGTTGTGTACTCGAAAATCGACCGCACAAAGTCGAGGAAAAGTTTTCAGCATCACGCCTCAGTTCAAAGTAGCGGTCAAATGAACGTAATTAGTGTTGTCAGTTCTGAAATATTATAGATATATAGTATTTATTTAAAGCTCAAAATTTTAAGTATAAAGTATAACCTGTCTAACTAACATGCGAAAAGGAATTGGATCATTTAAAGTGGTTTTAAAAAATTACTACCACTGAACTTTTTACAACCATTCTTTTCAATTTTTTCAGCTAAGATATAAAACTGTACATACTTTTTGCTACAACTCAATCTTCTTGTCTTTTGTACAGAAATGTTTTTTTATTCACAATGATGACTCACAAGGGAATAGCAGGGAATAAGCTGTCAAGGTTTATAGCCGATACAGGCAATATGTACTCAACTACTACTGACTTTCTTTTCCAGACTGACATCTTTTCAGCTACATATTAAATTGCAAATACTTTATGATATGATTTGACCATCTCGTTTGTTGTCCTATCTAATTAATATAGGAAAAGCCATTGGATAGTGTCAACATTTAAGTGGTTTTAAAAAAAAACACAACAACAACAAAAGAGATAGATAAGATGTCAAACTGTGCATACTTTTTGTTAAGATTCAACCTTCTTGCCTTTTGTCCTTAACTAATCTGGAAATAGTTGAATATTGTCAAGGTGTACAGCCAAAATGTTGTAAATATGTATTCATCTACTACTGACTTTTGTTCTCCGACTGACCTCTTTTCAGCTAAAATAATATTAAATTGTACATACTACGTCTTGATCTTGTTTATTATCCTAAAAAAACTTGTACCTTTTTTTTTTTTTTTTTTTTTTTTTTTTTTTTTGCAAATGTTCTCGAATGTTCCTGTCTTCTGTGTTCTGTATTTTTGACAAATTTGTGTCATATATTGTACATTTGCACTGGCCCTAGAGGAAATGCTCACAGACCACAGGTGAATAACTTTGAGCAAACAGGAAACAAAAAAGAGTCATACTTCAACCTAAACTGGGGGCAATAGGTCTTCTGTGGTTTCACTTTACAGTTAGTAACTGGTCTCTCCAAACGAGCTGTGAGACGCTGCAGAACATCCAGAACGCTGCAGCTCGGGTCCTTACTCGAACTAGGAAGTACAAGCACATAAGTCCTGTGCTCAGGTCTCTGCACTGGCTTCCTGTGCCTCAGAGAATAGACTTTAAAACAGCTCTGCTTGTGTACAAGTCTCTCCATGGCCGAGCACCAAAGTACATCTGTGACATGTTAGTGTCATATGAACCATCTCGCACTCTGAGGAGCTCAGGGACCGGCCTCCTGCTGGTGCCCAGAGTCAGGACTAAACAAGGGGAGTCAGCGTTTCAGGTTCATGCAGCTAAAACCTGGAACAGTCTTCCTGAACATGTGAGACAGACTCTTCTGTGACGCTGTTTAAATCCAGACTCAAAACATTTCTGTTTAACTGTGCATATAACTGAAAGGTTTTCATTCCGCACTCTTCTCTCCAATTTATGTCTCTCTTTTTTTAATTTTAATCTTCATGATTATTTATGTTTTGATTTGTTTTTATTATGATGTTAATGTATTTCTTATTCTGTAAAGCACTTTGAATTACTTTGTGTACGAATTGTGCTATACAAATAAACTTGCCTTGCCTTGCCTAGTAGAGGTAATAATATGACAGTGTAAAAGTAGACATGAGAAATTTCTGTATACTTTTAACTCGTCTATTTTGCTGTTGATGGTGACTACATGTCCTACTGAACTGAGCTCATACTTCTGCCAGGTGAAATATTTATATATAGGTTTTTTTTGGTGTTGTTGTTTTTGTTTTTTGTTTTTCTTCAACCGTTGTAGCACAGTTTTGAAACGTAGCTGTTTGAAAGGTAGCTGGTAACTTGAACACAACCACTTGATGGCATCACAAGGTGGGATAGAGGATTTTGAGCTTTGGAGATGTAGACAAACTAATAATAAAGGGTTACTCAAACATGTGTGAATGGAACAAAACGCAACTCCAGGTATGTTTTTGAGACATTCAACGTGGGTAAAACAGTCAAATTTCTGTAATATAGGATATTTAACCAACGTAAAGTTATATATTTTTGTATATGTGGATGACACTAGAGGGCAGTATTGGCATTGTGCTGTACCATAGACTGCTCAGTAGAACAAATATATTATAATAACAAAATCACTTCGATGAAAATGCAACTATTCTATTGAGACACTAGGGGGCAGTGGATACAGAAAGTTATTGATTTATGCAAGACTTTGGTCCTTATGACCTTATCCCCTCATTATGAATGGGCATATTTATACTTTATAAGAAGAAGACTATGAAAAAATTATATATATTATGTATTAATTATCATAAGATTGTATTTAATTATATTTTCACTTCTTTATGCCATGTCTTCTCTGTAAAATGTTTTGCTTGTTTGTTTGATCTATTTATGTGGTGCTATGGGATTGGGTCTGACACACTGACTGTATACATGGGGGGAGGACTAGGAAGTGGTGAGTTTGAGCAGGGAGGTGGGGGCGCCATTAACTGTCATCTTTTTCTTAACTCTTCTAATCTGATGGAGGTCAAGATCACCGAACATATGCTGGTCTCTTTATTTAGTTTCATTATAATTTCTTGTGGAGGCAGCCGAGGTAAGACCATGGGACTACTAAACTACTAATACTATCAAAGTTTAAATTAGATATTGTTATATATTTTTGTATTGCATTAGGTTCTCTGGGCTGTGATGTTGAGGTGCAGGTGCGAAGAGGACAAGTGTATGCTGTTTCTCCTCATGAATATGTGGAGATCAAATGTCCCGTCCAGCACTGTGGAAAACCTGTGCATGTTGTCTGGTGCAAAGTTCTGGACACAGAATGCAGCAATTTCAATACTTCAAATCACATTCAGATAAAGGAAGGCATGCTGTCGGATGATAAGATGGAGTCTGTTCTAATATTCAAAAAGATCACTGTAGAGGACAGTGGAGAGTACTCATGTAGAGAATCGAAATATCAAATAGTGGGGCATATGATAAATGTCAATGTTTCAGGTACATTTGATTTTTTTATTATTCATTTTTAAACTATTATTTTGCTAAGCAATTGAAATCCTGGTTAAGAATGTTCAAGATTATACTTCTTCTAATCTGTGTTTAGACTGATTTTTTCTCCCTGGTTTAATGTTATCTACAAAAATGGTTAATATGACAAATGCAAATATTTAATTTAGAGTTGAATCCTAACTATGTATTTTAATCCACAGAGATGAACCAAGGAGGGCAGAACCATGACAAAAATCCAGGTCTGAAAAATGTAATAATTTAACTGCACCTCCTGAGATTTATATTGTTTTGTCTTCTTTTAGATCGCCCCAGAAACTGTGAGAACGATCAAAGCATCCTTAATGGATATGAGATGAAGATAACCGCACTGGTGTTTGTTATCATTTTTCTTAGTATAGTTTTGCTCTTATTCACAATTACAGCCATAGTCCTGCTGAGAATGTATGCTTGCAAATGTAAGACCATTTCCTGTGGATTTTATAGTGATTAACAAAGTATTTGCAAAGGATTTTAACTTCTGTCTTGTTTCATTTTTAGCAATAGCATAAGAAGTCCTCCTGTTTGGCACCAGTCCTCATGCATTGTGGATGATATTTAAATTTTAGTAATAAAAGCGCCTTCAAATCACCCAGAGAGGGCCATCGGGGACCAACTTTTAACAGGTCCAAGTGAAGCTCAAAGCCCAGAATCTGCTGTGTACTCAAAAACCAACCGCTAAAGTCAAGGAAAACTTTTCAGCATCACGCATCAGTTCAAAGTAGCGGTCAAATTTACGTAATTAGTGTTGTCAGTTCTGAAATATTATATACAGTATTGATTTAAAGCTCAAAATTTAAAGTATAAAGTATAACCTGTCTAACTAAGTAATTGGATAATTTAAAGTGGTTTAAAAAATAACTTTATTACCACTGAACTTTTTACAACCACTCTTTTCCATTTTTTCAGCTAAGATAAAACTGTACATACTTTGTGTTAAGATTCAACTTCCTTTTGTCCTTAATTTTTAATCAAACCTAGATAACCAAACTGGGAATACCAGCTGGATACTGTGAACGTGTATAGCCAAAGTGTTGTAAATATGTACTGATACTACTGACTTTCTTTTCCCAACTGGCCTCTTTTCAGCTAAAATAATAATAAATTGCACATACTTTTTGCTTTGATTTGACCATCTTGATCTTGTTTATTATCCTAAAAAAAACTTGCAAATTTTTTTGTAATTGTTCACGAATGTTCCTGTGTTCTGTGTTCTGTACTTCTGAAAGATTCTTTTGTCATATATTGTACATTTGCACTGGCCCTAGAGGAAATGCTCACAGACCACAGTTGAATTACTTTAAGCATGCAGGAAACAAAACAGAGTCTTACTTAAACCTAAACTGTGGGGCAATAGGTCTTCTGTGGTTTCACTTTACAGATAGTAGAGGTAATAATATGACAATGTAAAAGAAGACATGAGTAGTTTCTGTATATTTTTAACTTGTCTATTTTGCTGTCGATGGTGGCTACATGTCCTACTGAACTTGTCAGTTTTGAAGCATTGTCAAGTTTGATGACTTGGTCTGAATATTTAACAGAAAAGGATTTCACACCTGTCAAAGTGAAAGCAATGTCTCAGCAGTGAGTAGACCATATTAAAATGGAAACTACCTACAGATATACAGACAACCACACTGTGAGTTGTGTGTAAAGGTCTTGTTTGATTTTGAACACATTACATATTATAATACAAAATAGTGTTGGTGTATTTGCTATTCCAACATCTTTCAGTTTTCTTCAGCATAAATATATTTGATCAAACACTGCAAAATCTGCTTTGCAGTTGTTAAGGCAGACATGTCAAACTCAGACCTGGGGAACAAATTTGGCCTGCGATATAATTATATTTGTCCCCCAAGATATCAGATATGTATTAGAGCTGCCCACCGGCTACAGATAGGCTATAGAGATATTATTTATTTAAAATGTAGTTATTATTTTCTATTATGCTTGTTCTGGATTCAATGTTTAAGCAAAACTTATTAAACACTTATTTTAATTAGAAAAGGTTTAACATTACATATCTCGAAAAAAGAGAAAACATGCAGATGTTGTTAAAATTTTTCAATAAATATTTAGTTTGGCCCACGACTTGGTCCCAGGTTTTAATTTTGGCCCTCTGTGAATTTGACTTTGACACCCAAATTTACAGAGGGCCTTAATAAGGTGTACATTTATATTTTACATAATACTATACAGAAGACAGGTTTTGGACAAAAAAAGCCAACACACTTTTCCAGTCTAAAATTCATGTTACTCTAAGAAGTAAAACCCACATCTGTTTGTGAGCATTTTTGAACTGTGATATACAGTATATTAAATCTTTTTATGTTTTACGGCATTTTTATTCCATTTGAACAATCGTGGATTTGGTGCATAGCTTACATTACTCTGTGTACATTTCTGTGGCTTAATTGTTGCTATTAACCACCAAAAGACTAACAAGGTTCACCGCGTTGGGAATTTAGGAGATAGTTTGTGTTATAAGCTGGCATTGCTTAAAATACAATAATTTTCTGTACCAGGTTTATATTTTTTTTATGTAAATGTTTTGAGTCATATTTCTTGCTACTGCTGTGTAACTAAACAAATTTGCAGTGTAAACATTTGTTCTATGGAAGTCATCATGGTCGTCATTCTAAGTGTAACCAAATATGTTGTAGTTATGTTCAAGTTAAATATATTGAACTGTCCAGAAAAATAATCATCTTTAGCTCAACTTACACTTAATATGAACTGTGCAGGTATATTTATGTGTGCACTTGTGTGTGTGTGTGAGAGAGTGAACACCATTTTTAGATCCACTATCCCAAGGGCTCAGTATGAAAAATATTTAAAAAAAAAAGAGCCATCTGGAAGCCAGGTTTGACCAACCACACAGGAATGTTAAGTATTTGAAAACTTGAGCAGAACTCCCATGAGACCAATAAGAGGCACTAGGGTAATGTAACGTGTTTTTATGTTTTTATTACTCACTATTAAACAACCATTTATCTATTACCAGTATTGTAGTGTATCTAAATCCTGCTAAATGTACAGTTGTCAATGATATAACATTTCATAGAGGGACCACCTGACAGTGAAGAAAAAGAAAGGCACATTGAATGCAGTAGTAGTAATACCATATGATTTTCAGTTTGGATCAACATATTACAACACTGAAAGCCAAAACACCCAAAACACCTTGACTTCATGAACAAAAAAGTTTTCTATGCAAATCTCACTTTTGACTTTTTAGACAGTTCATGTGGGTTCAATCAAAAAGTGGAACATTGCATAAATAAGTGGGACAAGGGGTCAAAATTAAACTAACAAACTGAAAACTCTGCTCTAATAGAAAGTGAGAGTCACAAATACTTACATTATTACATACATTATTTTTGAGCAAGTCCGGAGTCTTGGAGAATTGAACCCACAACCTGTTTACTTCTTTTACAAGGTCTGATTTGATTAAATATTATGGTACTTCATTTAGTGGCTTTTTAACCCATTTAAATTTCATATGCCTTGTTAACAACTTACATAAGACTACCACATATACAGCAGTCTCTTACTCTACATTACTCTGACACTGTGTTTGACATGTCTTTATACGCATATGAACTTATCACAACCTGCAGCATGTAGGTCATTATACAAGACGTTTCACCGCAGTACAGCATTGTGGTCACTCCTGTTCTGTTCATATTACTTACTAATTAACAACAATTAAAAATGTTGCTAAAATTGAGAAAAAAAGTCGATCTTTTGGGTAATTGCATTTTGTTGAGTAGATTTTTATACCTGCAATTGGATTTGTAGCATCTGAATTATGAAACTAACCTAAAATGGAACTAAAATTGCTTAAAAAGTAACTAATATTTACTTTACTAATACGTATGTTTTACTTAAATATAAATATGGCAGCAGCACACTTACTTGTAACTGAGTACATATATATTTACAGTGATGGGAAGAAAACTTTGAAAATCTATTTTGTAACAGAATACTGAACACCTGCATTAAAATGTATTATGTAAGGTATTTGATCCATGGGTCAGTCAGAACACTGCCTATTCGGAATACTTAGAATACTTTTACACCGGGTTGCATTTAAATTATAATGTAAATACGCAAAATAGTGTTAAAACGACTTTATATTTATTGTATTGTTCTCAATATGTATTCTTGACACATGATCAATTTCCTTCCTTGTACTATTTATTTATGTGACTTTACTGTGACTTTTACTTCAACAATATTTGTCAGTACTCTTTCCACCACTGCTAACAACCCTCTGTCAAAGCCTATAACCCAGGTTGACCATATTATTGTAAACTAGAACATCTCAGGCATCTGTCCCTTGACCACAGTTGAACTTTTCAGTCACACAGTTAACAGCCCAAAGACTGGACACGCATTCCTGTCTGAGACACATGTAGGTTTTCCTCCAAACTACATTTTCTTAAACACAGAAAGAGACAAGGGATTCCATGTGACTATGATCAGAATAGACAACAAGAAGATTGACTCATTTGAGCTTTGGGCCATGTTAAAATGTTGTTACCTCCTCCAAAATATACCTGGAGTTTTGTTTTGTTTCATTCACACATCTGAGTAACCCTTTATTATCAGTCTTTCTACATCTCCAAAGCTCAAATTGCTCTGTTCCACCTTCTGATGTCATGTATTGGCTTCTTTTACCTTTTTTCAGAAGAAATTGGCAATTCCATCGTTAATATCATCCAAATGATTTTAGTGAAGGTGTGTGGAGTTTGAAAACACTTCCTGTATTGCCACATGACATCACAAGATGGAACAGAGTGAACTCAACAAAACACAACTCCAGGTATGTTTTTGATGAGGAAACAACATTATAACATAGATCAGAAACAGGGAAATGTGGGTTCTTTAAAAATTACTATGCACTATTTAAAAAATTCTGGTTATCTCCGTGGAGTTGTCTGAAATTTATCTCTGTCCAGCTGTAACTGAATAAATGCAAAATAGGTAAGCATAATGCCATACTGCAGAACATTCCAGTCAAAGCAATAATTTTCCCATGGAGATAAGAAGGTGGAAAAGTTACATAGGGCACCTTTAAATTACATCACTGCTACGCTTTGGCTAATACAATACATTTTTACCAAACCAATGTTGCAATATAAACACAGTGATACACCACATAGATATAATAGACTTAGAGTTGCTTAGACTTGTATAAAAAGTTCACAAATTGGCCAGTAAACGTGGAATGAATATGGAATGTCATAAGGCCAGTTATAATACTGTACATCTCCATGTGTCCAGGAGATTATGTAACACTGAGAATCACAGTAGGATGTGGAGAAGGCACTCACATAATGATAAGATTGTGTCAGAGTTCATGTAGCTGTTGCTTGGACGTTGCATGTATTCTCCTGCCATCAGTGAAACCCGTAGCAGTCGGCTGAGGAGACCAGGGACAACTCACAAGGCTGGCTCAGTGAAGCGCTGTCGTCTTTTATCATCTGCAAAATTAATCAGCTAAAAAGACATGCAGGCAAAATGGAAGATGCAATATAAAAATATGTGTCATTCTAACATGTCTTTTACTCAAAATTATGTCTGACTTCTGTGTTTTAGCTGTAAATTCACCCCATAAATGCTAGAATGTGAGCTTCATTTGACTGGAGCTGAAGTCTATGGGTGACGTCACACTCCTTCGTCCAGTTCTTTATACAGTCTATGGTATTGGCTAAAGCTAATGTAAAATATATTGCTCTCAAATCAAAACCTACCTTCTTTTTGTAAGAAGCATTTCCAAAGACAGACACAGAGAGACAGGACCAAGAGGGCAGCGACTGTGGTGACAGAGATGAGGATGGTCAGAGCCGTGCCAACTGAAAGAGAGATGCAAAAAAACATATGTATGTGCAGTATAAGTACTGAACACCATAAGGGGCATTTTATTGTTTAAACAGCACAGCATAGAAGAGTAGAGCAAAATGTCTCATCTCTTACAATTTGTTATACCACGGTCAGTGAGAATTCCAATAGCTAACTGTACTGCATAACGCTCAAGTATCCGGCAACAGTTAAATCACATTCTGTATCACTGCTCTGCAGCCACAGCCACAACATTACCATAGCAAAGCATAAACAAATGCTTAACTGTGACTAGAACATTTTTTATTTATGAAGCAGGGACAGAGCACAATATGCATTAACCTTAACAGGAGAGGTGCATTGTGCCAGGTTGTAGCACTTGAGCTAATTTCCACCTGTAGTCCCTTGTGCATGTTTTTTTTTTTTGTGTGTGTGATGGGGAAAACCGTAGTGCTCGGAGGAAACCCAGACACAGGGAGAACATTCAAACTCCACACAGAAAGGCCCAGGATCAAATCTGGAACCTTCTTTCCCAGAAAATGTCAGGCAACCTGGTGATCAAATCCAGAACCTTCTTACTGTGAAGCATGAGTGCTAGCCACTCAGCCACTGTGCTGTACATGTAGGGACTAGCTTCAATCACAAACACAGAAATAAATGAACCTAAGACATTTACAGACAAAGAACAGGCAGGTCTCATGCAATAATAAAAAATACTTTTACTTTTCAGTCCTGTGGAGTAGAAAGTAGGCTATAGACACCTGCTATCAGATGTAGTAAAATAAAAGTAGAAAGTTTTTAAAGTGTCACTTTAAAATCTACTTAAGTAAACTACAGATACCTAAAATTTATACTTAAGTACAGTACTTTACTACTTTTACTTTATGTTCCACCATTGTTCATCGCTATATTGTTTCCTGAGACCCTTTTTGCACTTTAATGAGCTTATTCCTCCCTCTAGCAACAAAAAAACATTTTCAGATTATTCACTGCTTACTTTTAGTGTTCATGGATACAGCAATAGGCGACTCGAGGCCCTTGTGGTGCACCAGGCATTTGACGGACACATCTTTGAGCAGGCCTGACTGGACGGTTAGGGTGCTGATGACCAGGGTGCTCCCGTCCTCTTGAGGTGTCTGAGTGGTCTTTGGGGGTCCCATGGTGCGGTTGTCCCTCTCCACGTTCCACACGATCTCCGCCGGGGGTCGCGACACAGAAGTGCAGTTGGCTTCTATCACGCCTGGAGAGGTTGTTTTGTAGGTAACGTGAGGTTTTGGGAGAACTGCAAGCAATACAGGGATTGAAAAGATAAATGATGATCTGTTGATTATAAAATGTTATCAAATGTACTACCAAAAACATCAGACACTGGGCCAGAACTAATACATCTGGTAAGGAACATGGTATAGCGTCAAGGAGGTGGGTTTTTTGTGCATTAAAACTATTTTTTACTATTTTCTATAGTTGTTAAGTTTATAACTGAAATGATTATAATAGTTGTTTGTGTTATGACAGTGAAAACTTATTTTTTATCAATCAATCAATAAAACTTTACAACTGTTAAACTGAGTCAAAATGCTTTCCAAAAGTGCATTAAAAGAAATCTTGAAATTTGATCTCACTTAGACCCTTCATATTTTCAACCACTGTTATTCATACTTGTCTGATATTGCAAAATGATAATATCTCACACATAACAAAATAGAAGACAGGGATGGGAGGGGATGGGAGGGATGAGAAATTCATTTGAGAAAGCTTCTGTGCTTTTGTATCACATTAAGTGTTAAGATCTCGGGATGTTACCTGGAACTGAAGCCTTTGGACTCACTAAGCTATGTGAATTCCTGCACGGTTATAATCCATAAGTAAACCTCTGCCTGTTTTCAATTGTCTGTGCTGAAGATGGAATGTAATACACTGGAAGCAAGAACATTTGTGTTGGCACCATCAAACCAAGCCACAGAAATTTGGCTTGCAAGAGTTTAGGTTATGAAAATCACCCAGAATTTTGGGTGGGGACAAATCACAATCAAGATAAGCATTGATTTTAATCTGGGTACCAAATGAATTTCTTTACCAATATGAAAAAATCACACACGGCTGAAGGTCTGATGTCATGACAACTACAAAGTCCATTATTCAATTTCCTCATTAGAGCAATGATGGTCAGAGCACCATGGTGATCAGAGTGCCACTCAGAATACCACTTTGACAACCAGGTATTATCCTGTCCTTTTGTTGTAATGTGCCTTAGCATGGTGAGTGATTAGCACTGCAGAATCGAACACATATTCCCTTATCACAAACTGGAGACCACCTGATCTTATTCCTTCAGTTTACTCCATATAATTAGCACCATCAGAGTTGAGGAGATCTGCACACTTTTCTAAGAGCTGGAACCAATAGACCACCAATAAATACTACTTTTTGTGCGGTACTTCACATATCATCCGATGGAAGCACAGTCTTAAATATTAAGAAAAGCATTTTGTAGCACACAGACGTCACTAATGCAAATTGTATGTCATCACCAGAAACCCCCCTCATTGTACAGCCCCATTCAAAACAATAGCAGGCTTGTTGGGGAGACTTCCAAAGCGAGAAAGGGAGACAGTGGGAGAAAGCACAGAAGGCTTCAGTGTACGGCCTGAACACTGCTACAGTCACACATCAAGACCTCAGCCCCTGCCTCCATAGTGCCCTTTCAAGCGATCTATTCTTTACTCCACAAACATACTGCTTTGTCTCTGTGTGTGAATGAATCAGAAATGTTGTGGTATCAGGAGCACATCAGCAGAAGAAGTCAGGAAGAGGAGATCAACATTCCAGTGTAAATCCCAGGAGGGGCACCTGTCTCTCCACACACTCCCAAACTGCTGTTCCCGATCTTTGACCTGTGCTGACAGCTCACTCTAAGATAGATGGCAACTTATAATACACAGCATATTTTTCAGGAAGATAAAGAAGGAATAAACTTATCTTGTAAAATCTCTTAACCATAACGTTACACAGTAGTTACTAATAGGTCTTGAGAGAATTGCAACACATATAACATTTTATACATAATGCATAATATATATTCTTCTCTACTAGGGTACAAAATACTCTTGAAAGTATAAAAACACTCAATAGCAATGTTTTTCTTTGTCTTGGAAACTCAAATCATACAAGGCAAGGGTCCAGGGTAGACAAAAGCCTGTGTATGTATGACTAAAATGATGGCAATGTGTTATATTTTGCCTGTTGAAAGTGACTTTACATCCAATAATTAATAAGTGAATAGTTGTGTGCATGTCTTTGCTGTGTTAACCTTGTAACTGTTCATTGTCTATGTGGTATAGCCCATTTTAGCTCAATAGTTCAGACAGTCTGCCACCACCTAAGATGATTATGCTGGAAATTCTTCTGGAGACTTTTTGAAAACTGCTTGGCAAGATAATTATTTTATGGAGGTCTCCAATAAATTGTTTTTATTTGAATCTGAACCTGTTATACTGATGAATAGGTGAAATAATTTCCTCCTTTATGTCATGTGCTTAGGTGAAAATATGGTGATTATTACCATATGTGGAGAGGCAGACAGTGGAGGTCTTTGGTCCGTCGCGGTGCGTGTGGAACAGGCAGGTGTAGCAGCCCTCGTCCTGGATCAACACAGGCTGTATGGTGAGCTGGCTGTCAGACAGAGATGAACTGAGCCAGGTCCTGCCCTCGTACGCAGGCTCGATCATGGGGTCACTCTGTTTCGCATATGAAGCCATAGGACTAAGCTGCCCATCCGGCGAGCTGTGCTTCCACTCCACCTGCTCCACTTTTTCAGGCAGGCCATAGGAGCACGAGAGAACTGTCTTTTTGCCACTTACTGCTGTCTTGTTGCGGTCAGCCGTGACTTGAGCTGTCAGAGCCCCCATCCAGAGAAAAACAAATGCACAACAAAAATGTAAAAGACATAAAGTGAGTAATAGAGCTGTAACTATAGGACCACCTCACACAGAACAGTAAGTGGAATCTGCATCATCTGCTTCTGGTTTGAGTTATAAACCCATTTGTCTGCCTTTTATTAACAGAGCTGAGATGAACCCACTATAATCCCAGGCTGTTTTGAGAAGCTGGATCAAGGCAGTGTATGCATAACTCATCTAAAGCCCCCTAGTAGGCCTGTATAGAGGTATAATATCAAGATTTATGGTCCCAGCAATGCGTTGGAAAATTTACTCAAGCCACCTGCACATTGCTAAAGCTGTATAAGAAAAAAGTTACAAAGGCAAATGTGTGTGCCCATATACTGTCAGCATCCTAAATTTATAGTTTAAGCTCAGCCCCTGGGTTTCACCTCAAATTAATGAAATGCTACTAAGTCTGGCATCTGTCTCCACTAAAAATGGCACTTCAGAGGGTCTTTTCTCTTATGGATGGCCTTAAAGCATCCAGGTTGTTTTCTATAAACATCTGTTATGGCTTTCAACCTCTTTAGGGTATTCTGTGAAATAATTTATTTATATCACTTCCTTCCTCACACTACAGATTCTGATTTTTTTTTACATAATATAATAATAAAATCAAATTCCAAAAACTGTTCAAGACTTCATGCAGCTATGGCTTGCTAATGTTTGACTCCCATTCAGATGTTATAGAAACATCTTGATTTCAAAATAGATTGATTGCTTCTGTATCCTTTCCTACCTTCGACCACTCCTAGGCAAATGAGGGATTACACCAACAGAAACATATAATTTGCCCCATTACCTGTTAACATCCTTTTCTAGATTTTTTTTTGCATAATAACTTGATCAAAACCAGTTAAAAGCAGGAATCCACTCACATGTAACAGTGATGCATGTGGTCCCTTGTTGTGAGCCAGAAGGAAGCATGTCAAAGATGCAGGTGTAGCAGCCCTCGTCTCTGTAGCTGACCCTGGTTATGATGACGTTGGAAGTGTCTTTTGGGGCAGAGCCAAGCTCCACATGCTGCTGGCCACTCACACTGTCCTTGTTACCCGGCTGGTAGCTCAATAGTGTCTTATTCTCTACATCTATCCAGCGCACTTGCCTCACAGTTTCGCCCCTCTCCTTGGACACGCTGCAAGTCAAAGTGTAGGGCTTGTTCACTGGAGCCAGCATATACTGTGGAGCAGTGACTTTTCCTGAAATACACAATACCATAGAGATCACATGTTGACAGTTAACAAAAGACTATTACAATTTGACTAAAATTGTAAGATGAAATTGTAGATTTACCCTGCAGTCTTCCAGCCATCACCAGCAATAAGAAAACGGGCAGACAAATTGTAAAGTTGATCAGAACCCTCATCTTCATTATGGTCAATTACAAAATGGATAGGCCTACTGGCAAACATAACACATGCATTATTATAAACCCATCATTTCTGAAGTATCGAAAGCTTAACTCATATCAAAAAAAAATGTTAAACGAATTTTATTTAGTCGGTTTGTAGCTATATGAAGAAGCATCAGAACTTCACATAAAAAATACACATCAAACTTACCCTGCCCTGGTCCACAAGTCACTGAGATATTTATCCCTGCAACATTTTGTCCATCCCAATTTAATCCAGCAGCAGGTCATTCAAACATTCCAGTCCAACTAGAAACACATTTCCCCACTCGAATGTTTTCTCTTTTCTCCAGCAGCAACAACTGAGCAGTAGCAGCCGAACTCTCGCATACACGCAGGCGGTCAGAGTGCGCCTCTGGATCTTCTGTGCCATTGGTCAGGAGCTGCAGGCTGGAGAGTGCTTTGAATAACTTTATAGCCAATGTATAAATCACCCACAAGCTTAACACATTCCTATATTGTTTTTTCAATCATCATACTCAGGATACTTAACTTAAATAGGACTTATTTCTAAAAAAAAAAAAAAAAAAAAAAAGAAAAGAAAAAAGAAAACCCATGACCTGTTATTATTATCTTCATATTCTGATTACTGTCGACCTCTGCTGGAGTAAGATGGAAACTAGAAACCGACGTAATTTGTATTCATTATTTTATTTGATTGTCAAATAATTGTTTAGTTCCATAAAATAATAATAAAAATATACAAGATACATTCGCTACATTGACAGCAAATAAAATGTTACCAAAGTAAAAAATAAAAATAACAAAAATAGACGTCATCAGTAAACGACGGAACTTCAGACGCGTAATAATGACGTATCAAATCGCCTCTTATCTGTCAATTGAGCAAGTTTTTTCCATAAATATGTGAAATATCGTCTCAAAATGGCATTTCGTGATAAAACTTGCGTGTTCCGCCAATTTAAAATGTAGTTATAGAATCCGGTGGAATTTAACACAGTACAGCTAACACTGATCGACTGCAAACCAGAAACATGTCTTTCTTGGTGGACTCAGTCATCATGTTCACCTCGCAGGTAAACTTTATTTAATACTTTTTGTCCGAGTATAACTCTATTTAACCCACTTAAAGAATGATGCCCTTAAATGCTACAGTACAATGAACAACACATATTACATTACGCTGGTGTTATATTACCACTCTCACTGACTTGTTCAGAGAAAAGTGTGTATTATTGGAAACTGGAGAAGTGGCCATTGACTTATCACATTATTAGGTGCTGTTCTTTGGATTTGGTTGGCTGTTCTTCATGCGGCAATTGTTCAAAGACTATGAGGTATTCCGTCTTACTTTCAACCTTGATGTCGAGTTAATTTAGGTCATTTGAATCGAATAATGTATTTTTGCATTTATAGGTGCGACAGTATGTGGTCCAGGTGGTCTTCTCTGTAACTTTTGCTTTTTCATGTACCATGTTTGAGCTCATCATCTTTGAGATCCTGGGGGCCTTAAGCAGTAGGTCAGTACATACGGCTCATATTTTGTTGCCAGGAATTTAAATGAGACACTTCTCATTTAACACACTCATTTCTGTTTTTTGTCACCACAGTTCCCGGTATTTTCATTGGAAGCTCAACCTTTATGTGATACTGCTTGTGCTGATTTTTGTTGTGCCTTTCTATATTGGTTACTTTGTTGTGAGCAACATACGACTGTGTAAGTACAGTGTAATAACCTTTCAATTAGATTGCCATTATCTTGATAGCTTTGTATGCGTCCACAGTGCACAGACAGCGGCTACTATTTGCCTGTATGGTCTGGTTCACCTTTATGTATTTCTTCTGGAAATTGGGGGACCCTTTTCCAATTCTCAGTCCAAAGCATGGTAAGATCTTGAGATTAACATTTTTCTTTAATTGTTTGATTTATTGTTAAATATTTTCAGGAATCCTGTCCATTGAGCAGCTTATTAGTCGTGTTGGAGTAATAGGAGTCACACTCATGGCCTTACTGTCTGGCTTTGGTGCTGTGAACTGTCCCTACACATACATGTCGTATTTTCTCAGGTAGAACATGTTCCAGTTCATTGCTATTATATGTATGACAGAAAAAATATATTTACCTTGTATCCAAAACTATTCTTTTGCAGGAATGTAACAGAAAGTGACATACTTGCTCTGGAGAGGCGGTTGCTGCAAACAATGGACATGATTGTCAGCAAAAAGAAAAGGTAGGTAACAGCTGTATTTGCATTTGTTAGTTTTTTTGTTAATATCTCAATATTTCTTAAGAATTGCTATGACACGGAGGCAGATTTACCAGCGTGGGGAAGACCAAAACAAGCAGACTGGATTCTGGGGCATGATCAAGAGTGTGACCTCTACACAAACGGGGAGTGAAAGTATGCAACATTACTGTTACATTTTACATTTTGCCCGTTGCTTTGCTATTTTTCTAAATGAAAAAAATATGTATATATATTTTTCCCCAGACCTTTCTTTAATTCAGCAGGAAGTTGATGCTTTAGAGGAGCTAAGTCGGCAGCTTTTCCTTGAGACTGTAGACTTACAAGCCACCAAGGTAACCTAAAAACTGATGATGAACTGGAAATAAATGAGAATAGTGAAATGATACATAATTTGTAATCCTGCAATTTCACAGTAGTTTTTTTCTTCTTGACTGTTTCATATGGAAGCTATTATCTAGTAACAGTGTTGGGAAGGTTACTTTTAAAATGTAATCCCCTACAGATTACAGATTACACACCCCAAAATGTTTTTTTGTAACGTAATCCATTAAATTACTTAAAGTGAGTAACGTAATCTGATTACTTTGGATTACTTGATATTGTCATGTTTTTTTAAACGACATGAATGTAGCAACCACATCCTGAAAATTCTTGTTGTCTTCAAATTGTCTGAGCCCAAGTCTCCATGAATAAGCAACTGTTTGCTGTAGAGAAACAAAGACCACGATATCTTAATATAAGAGGTTTTGTCTGTTAAAAGACAGAAACAAGATAAGCTTTTCCTTCACCAGATTAAAAAATATTATTGATAGAGAAATTATTTTTTATATGAGATCACCTTAAATTATGTCAACCTACTGTTAGGTGTCATGTTGTTTAGACCTGGTTTAGTCCTGATTTTTAGACCTGTTTTACTCCTGATTTTAGACCTGGTTTAGACCAGGTCTAGACCAGGTCTAGATCAGGTCTTTAGTTCTGGTTTAGTCGTGGTTTAGTCCTAGTTTAAACCTGGTTCAGTCCTGCTTTAGTCCTGGTTTAGTCCTGGTTTAGTCCTGGTTTAGTCCTGGTTTAGTCCTGGGTTAGTCCTGGTTTTAGTCCTGGTGTTAGTTCTGGTTTAGAGGCGCACAGGAGGAAGCGCGGTTTATGCGAGAAAACACGGTCCACACGCGGCGCACGAGACGGCGGTGTCCGCGCTGTAACTACGGAAGGAGACGTGGTCCGCGGGTTCTCAGGTTGATGACGATGATGAAGGTGTTTGTGTGTTTGTGTATAGGACAGTAGTGCAGATATTATGAGTCTATGCAGGTTGTTTTCACCAGTGCCAGTAGCTCCTGTTTCACATTTAAGTTGTAGGCGATTTTATATTTGTTTTTGTTTGTTTATATATATATCTCACATCGGCGTTTGATGACGTTTACATCGCTCTTATTGTGCGCGTTCTGTTTGGGTTTCCGGCAATAAGTGGAATTACCGAAATAAAAAAATAAATAAATGGGATGTAGCACAAAATGTGAAAACAGGAAAATACCGCCTTGTAATCCACTTATTTCAGCAAAGTAACTGTAATCCAATTACCACTCATTGAAGCAGTAACTGTAACGGAATACAGTTACTCATAATTTGTACTCTGATTACGTAACGGCGGTACATGTAATCCGTTACAAACCATATATGAAAGTGTTGTTCTTAACTGGTGGGTTATGAGTAGTAATTAAGAAGTAAGAAGTAAAAGACATTGTGATTTCACTGTTTAATTGATCATGCTTAATTATTCTTTTTCTCTTTCCTTAAAGGAAAGAATTGAGTACTCCAAAACATTCCAGGGGAAATATTTCAACTTTCTTGGGTACTTCTTCTCCATTTATTGCGTTTGGAAAATCTTTATGGTATGATCACTGTTGCTTTTCCAAATGTAACTTAATAGCATTCAATTCCACTCTGAGAGACTGTTCTTAATATTCACTATTTGGCAGGCAACAATAAACATTGTATTTGACCGAGTCGGAAAGACAGATCCAGTAACCAGAGGCATTGAAATCACAGTGAACTATCTGGGAATCCAGTTCGATGTATGTGCACTCTCAAACTCAAATACTGCAAATGACGAAGACAATATGACAAATGGAAAATTTCTTTAATAAATGTTTCTTTGTTTATGCTTTTAGGTAAAATTTTGGTCTCAACACATTTCTTTTATCTTGGTTGGCATCATAATTGTAACATCTATTCGAGGCTTACTCATCACTCTTACAAAGGTAAAAGCGCTTTTTTTCATTATTATGATAATGTACCTGAATGTGTGTCCAGAACATTTTGTTTACTGCATTATATATTATTATTTTGTCTTTGTAGTTCTTCTATGCTATATCCAGCAGCAAGTCTTCTAATGTAATAGTGCTTGTTTTGGCTCAGATAATGGTGAGTTATCTGTACATTTTAGTGAGAACAAACTCCAAACCAAAAAGTTCAACATTTGTTCTTTTCTTTCAGGGGATGTACTTTGTTTCTTCTGTTCTTCTAATGCGTATGAGTATGCCACTGGAATACCGTTCCATTGTGACAGAGGTGCTAGGAGAGCTGCAGTTCAACTTTTACCATCGCTGGTTTGATGTCATCTTCCTTGTCAGTGCTCTGTCCAGCATCCTCTTCCTGTATCTGGCCCATAAACAGGCACCAGAGAAACACATGGCTCTATGAGCCGGAACTGATCACATGATCAAAATCAGAACTCTGGAGCTTGAACATAGCCCCTTTTCCAGCTGAGAGATGGAAGATTACACTGGACTTTTTGGGGACGGGACACCTTAAAATTCTCTTGCAAATACTTGACGATTGTTGACAATTAAATTCTACTGACAAAAAGTTCCTTGTGTGTTTTATTATTTAGTTCCTTATTCCTAATACATGCCATTTAGGAATCTGCAATAAATGTTGAATTTTAACTTCTTTTTATCAGAACCAGCTTAGCTACACTATGTAATGTACTGTTACAATTTATTACCAGGGTCAGCCCCTGTTCTTACATCACTACTTTGTGTTATTCCCACAACTTGAGTCTTCAAACTTTTTTATTTATTTCGCAGAAGATAAATAGACTAAATCAAATACAAACATGATATTCATCAACACAGGTGTATTTGTTTATTTAGTTTAATTTCAGCTAATGGCTCTGGTGACTGTGATAATATTAAGTTAAATGTTGAGTATTAACAGGAGACCAACTTCTTAAAATCTCAGATCTACACTGGCATCAGATGCACAAGATGACTCAGATGAGCTCTGAAACCAAAGACAAAAGAGTACAGAATAGTTCATATATATTTTTTTACATTTTATAATTTTTTACATTTGCATGAAAAACTCACCCTTGATCTTGCTGGTTGCTCTGGTTCTTCAGGCTGAGATGGCGGTGGAGTTTCTTGTCTCATTTCTCTGGTTTCAGGAGTGTGGACTTGAGCGTAGGAGGTCTCCCCCAGCAGCGCTCGTGTGATGGGCACTCCTTTAGCAGTGAGCCTCTCATAGATGTTTCTACTGGCCACCAGCATCTCCAGAGTATTACCACTGCTCCGAATTAGACCTACGACCTCTTCATGGATGCTTTTCTCCACGTTCACCCCATTAACCTCCACCACCATGTCGTCATCCTCCAGCCCGGCCCTGTCTGCTGCCCCCCCTTTCACAACCTGGGATCAGATACATTACAGTTTGAAATAGCTCAGGTAATAAATATATTTGCATGTCCAGTTAAATTTAGTTAATTAGAAAAATGAGATAGCCCAATAACTAGATCTAATTTGTATTGTGTATGCACAAAAGAAAACTTCTAGTGACATAGGACATGCTAATGAATGCATACAAATTTTAATTATAGTAACATTTTCTCTTTCATTTTTGTACTGACATCAAATGACCTTTCAATAATCAGATAACTCCAGTAATCAAATAATGATCAGATTTACATTGTGTGTGAATAATGCTCTGTAAAGCGTCTTTGACTGTCCAGAAAAGCGCTATATAAAACTGATGCATTCTTTATTATTATTATTATTAAATATAGTTACTGTGGCATATGGTATTGTGGTGACTAACCTCTTTGATGTACTGTCCACACACTCCCTGGAGGCCGTTTAGGTGGAAGCCATATCCGGCGGAGGTCTTTTCCATTTTGCACAGTTTGGGTTTGAGTACCTCGTCTCTGTCCTGAACTGGTGAAGGTGGACGCTGGATCGCTGGGGCTGTTACAGCTTCGTTGTAGCTCGGAGGTGAGGATAGACTCTTCGTCTCCTCCCAGAAAAGCATAGGGGAGACCTTTCCCTATTTCAATAGAAGATATGTTTAATAGGTCAAAGTCTAATTCTTAACCCTAAGAGTATTTGTTTTATATAACATTTACACAGCACAGGGGGGAACTCAGTTTATCTTGGAGAATGACAACCACTTTCTTAAATTCTTTTGCAACTGCTAAAGGATTATTAGAAAAACTGATCTTTCATATAAGGGTTATTCCACCAAACTTTATGCACATTATTCAAAATACAATTACCCTATTTAATCTTGCAATTTAAATTCTGCACATGCTTCATCATTATTTTGGTGCCTTTTGCAGTCATACTATAAAAGGTTGTCATCAGGTTACCAAAGTTTACATTTGCAATTATCAAAGACCATACCGGTGACTATGACAATGCCTCTTTTTTAATGCAGGATATAGATTGAAACAATATGTTTTGGGTTGATGTAATGTGTATTCTGGACTTCTGTCTTACCTTCTGATACATTTGGTCTGTTTCTTTGTCCACCACTAGGAGGGAGCATTGGCTGCCGCTCATACGGATGCATTCTACCACCTGCTCGTGGGAAAATTCAGACACATCTTTCCCATCCACGGCCACCAGTCTGTCCATGTCCATCAGACCCACTCTGTCGGCTGGGCTGCGTCTGTCTATGTCTCTGATGAAGTGCCCTACAAGCACAAGAAGTACAAGTCATTCATTCAGATTTGAGAAGATATCACTTGAGAGTTCTTGGATAATTCAGTTGGCATTATTAAGTACTAGAACATATCTTTGTAGCTCGGCTTGAAAAAAAACCTGGGTGTGTTGTCGCTGTGTCCATGAGCAAGACATTTCACCTACCCTGTCTCTGTTTGAATGTGATCATTGGTGGTCAGAGGGGTAAATGGTGCAGAATGGCCACCTTACTTCTGCCTGTTTACCCCCGGTCAGCTTTGGTTACAGTTGGTAGTTCAATTTGGTTCTATATATAGTGCTGTATGTGTATTTGTCTATATAAATACATGACTGATTGTTTAGTTACTTAGTTTACTTTCTTCGATCAACTGGTATAATCATTAATCATGTTACAATAATTTATGAATAACTCAAAACTAACACATAACACTTGGTGGGTTTAGGGTTTAGGTTGAAGTTTAACACTTATTTTGCCTAACCCTTCTCAACCAATAGAATACAAAATGACAAAAAAAATCAATTTTCAGAAAAAAAAAAATAAAAAAAAAAAATCATTTGCTATGAGTGTAGGAAAGGAGACCTCTTGATAAGTATATATTTTAGTATACACACATACACATACACATATGCAAACACCCACACTTTGATATTCAAACACACCACACACCAAAACATTCTTTGATGTAAAGAGCTCTGAACGCCCATTATGGCAAAAACTTTATTCAAAACTTCAATAGGTTTGTGATAGTACCTGAGAGTTTAGGCTCCTCTTTTAACAGGAAACCATAGCCATCACTTCCTTTGGTCATCTCTGCGATTCTGGGCTTGTGTGGCAGGTACTTCGTTGTTGCTAACCAGGCCCCCATTTTTTTGTGTTTGCTTTGGTAGTGCCTGTATGTCTCCTCATCTGCCAAAAGAAACATGAGCGCGCCCCCTGCAGACTTGATCTTCTCCACTGCCTGCTCGTGTGTGCTGCCGTCCATGTCATCTCCATTAATCTCCAGCAGGCGGTCATTGACTCTGACCCCGGCCTGATCCGCGACTCCTCCCGGGACCACCTCTGTCATGAACAAACCCTGCTGGCCTACAGGGACACACAGGGCAAATGCATGGTGAGAAGTCCTTGTGTTGTTGGTAATAGCATTGAAAGAACAAAAGCATTGTTTCAGAAAAAGTTTGGCTACACTATATAATGTTCTTTAAAGGTTAGTTAGTGTCATGAGAACCAAATTTGTATGCAAGTTTTCTCAAAAGTCTTGTTCAGTACCAAAAATGTTCAGTACCAAGAACCTGATCATATCTATATGACAAGACTGATCAACTTCCATTTTAGCTGTACCATCTGTATTGAACATTACTGACCTATAGAATCCAGCAAATACTGTCTTTATATTTTTAACTGAAAGAACAAAGAGATCATTTTAAAGTCAAGACAGTTTTATTTCAGAAAGAGTGATAAAAACCTTACCTTTAACTGAGCGAAGGGAGAAGCCATAGCCACTGTTGTTCTTAACAAGGTAGCAGAGTTTGGGCTTGGGAACATGTTTGGACACACCATTAGTGACTGGTGAGCTGTGAGGGTCTGCCAAATTCACTCCCTGTGCTTTTGCTTGTTTGTATGACGCCTCATCCAAAACATGGAAGAGGACGGAGGAGCCACTACTTCTGACCAGTTCCACCACCTGCCGCAGAAATTAAAGGTACATTGTGTAACGTGTCTGGTGGAGGGTCCATCAAATGCTTTTCTCACTGGAGATGTTATTGCTTTGTTTGGAATGTTTCACAGTCTGTTATTAAACCTTTCTATTTACCACCAAAACAGAACAAATTATAGGTCAGATCTGTGGAGAGGCAACCCCGCTCACCAGGCTTGTCAACAGAAATTTGGGAACTTGGGGCAAGAAGCCTCATATGGGCTACCCTCTTATGTAAATTAATAGGAAGAGGGTTCAATTCTGGGCCCTAAAACCTTGGGGCTCAGGACAACAGACTAACTGCCCTGCTACTCACAACAAAGATGCTATTTTTCAACTTTTTTTTTTTTTAAGCTATAAAACCATTTGTAATTGAATAAAATCACGGCTGAGCTGTTTGATGTCTGGCAGAGCAATGACATATCCAGGGAACCAAGCAGGTGAAGGACTTCCAAACAAAAAAGTTACATAGTGAAGTTACACAGTGTACCATTAAGTAGTGTTAGATCCATTTTACCACTACATTGATTTACAGCCTTACCTCAGAGTGGGGAAGTCCATCCACAAATGTTCCATTGACACGTAAGATCCTGTCTCCATCTTTCATGCCAGCCAGTTCTGCATTTCCTCCCATTTCCAAGCATCGTACCAGGTGTCCCTCCTCCCCATGCTCCACTCTCAAGTAGAAGCCAAAAGTTTGCTCTGACCTTTTATTCAGAGATATCACCCTTGGCATGTACCGAGCCATGTCCTTGAAGAGATAAAAGTTACAGATTAATTCAGGCTACAATTCTGATTTCAGAAAAACAAAAACACTTTTCTATGGTGACATGTTATCCTGTTCTTTATAGAAGTGTCACATTGTTGATAGCTAAAATGCAAGTTAATCTTCCATCAGTGCTCTTGAGCTGTTAATGGTTAATGACAGTCACACCTGAAGAGGATGACCATTTAAACGGTAGCCTGGACTTTGAGAGAAGGGAATGTCTCCATATACTAGTTTATGGACCAAATTCATCTATAATTGAGACAATTAACATGTCTAATATATAGATTTTGTGAAGCTCTAGAGCCACTACAAATTGATGGGCATTTCCATTTATACCCAATACTGGTAAATTACAGAGCTATGACAATGTAGCAATACTAATGTGGATTATTCCTGAAATCATAGTTCTTTCTAAGCGTTAAAATATTCAAAAGGTGCACTATACAAGGTGTGTGACTGAGGAGGAACATAACAATGCAGCTATTGTCACATGAGTTGTGTCTAAAAATCATTGTTAGGTTTGTGACTTATGCATAATTATTGGTATGGAAACATGTCTATTTGTTCAGATTTCTTTAAAATTCTTTATGGTCCATGATGCTCGCTGCTGTCATTACACCTGTTATTTCTAAGCTAGATCAAACCATAATAGACCACTTGATTAAAATACTCTTCTCATAAACATATAACAAACCAAGTATATATTTTTTGTTTTTGCAGGTAATAAGTGAAAATAAAAATGCATTTGTATGGACTCACCAGCTCCTTCTTGCTCAGTGTCCCGTTGGAAAGGAGGAGTCCACTTGCCACTGTTGGACTGTTATCAGTGTTGTCTCCAGCATGCACTCCTCCCAGGCCACCTCCCATGCTCCCTCAGCAAAAAGGACTTTGACAAGCCAAAGGTGAGTTTAAACGCTGAGTTATTTAACTATATTGTGTATAATTCTTATGATCCTTTGCAAAAGCAGTGATTTCAGGTCAAGTTGGTACCAAGAGTAATTTCCAAACATATATTCTGAAAAATACTGAGAACACTAATTAGATGAACTACAACACTGTCATTCATCTTGTAACTATGTACCATAACGTTTTACAGTTCCGTTACTTTTGATATAATAAAGATAATTGATAAGATAAAGGTGTTGGATTAGTAATCATCAAAATTGCTCACTCTGCAGACAAGAAAACTGTTGTTTTAAATCAAATAAACCAAACATGACATAATAGAAATATCTTCAACATGTATTTTCAGTGCACAGTATAGCAGCATTTACAGTAGACTTATTTTTATGTCTAGTCAGTATAAAAGGCCATTAACTATTTTATGATACAACAGCCATCAAGAGGGGACAAGGGTCAAACCAAGCAAAACAAATCAACGGGTGGAACCCATAATACTGTGATAATGATCTACTAATTTGTTTTTATCTTTGTTTAAGATTAAAACATGATGCTGTATTCGCAGATATGTAATGTGTATATGATAAATGAATGAAAGTGTGAAACTGGACACTTATTGGATGTTTTCAATCCTCTACCCATGGAGAAGTTATTGCTTTGCCTAAAATGTTCCATAGTATTGCATTAAAAGTATATTACTTGCATTTATCCAGTTGCATGGGATTTTATTGTCTTGAAAAACATGCAGATCTGAGTGAGAGCAGAGTCACGTATCCACAGATCTGACCTGTAAATTGGTCTAGTAGCTTCACCTGCTTGACTCCATGAAGATAGATGTTTAATGCCATGCTATGGGACATTTCTGCAACAGCATTTCCATGGAGACTACCAGATGAATCTCCACACTTTTGAAATAACTGCATGTTGTTTGTGCATAATAAAGGCTGTTGTATTGATCCCTTGCACATTTCCCTGATACACTTATAAACTCTAGAGTTGCTGTTCTCAAATGTGCATTGACTGAACCATCATTATAATTCTCCATCTTTTTGGCACGCTGTTGTTATTTACAGCACATTACAGTCATGTGCGTAATGCATACTGATAGCTAATAGCGAAAATATTGACAAGGTGTCTTCTGCTTTCTCTCAGTATTTAATATTTGCCCATCTACACAACTCGTCAATAGTTCCTGTCGCCAAAATCTTCTCCTGCTTGACTTCCACATTCATCTCAGTGCAGTCTAGTTTTCTATTGATTAAGGAGCTGTTTATGCATATGTTAAAGTGCATTTCTGAGCAGGGAGGTTGTAGTTATGTGTACTTGCCTTCTAGCAAGACACATCATCTACAGAAAGCGTAACTGCAAAATATCTGTGCTAATGATCTCTCAAATATAAATCAGTCTGCAATGCCAGAGGCCCCAGATAAGCAAAATAAATTGGTTGGATGAGAACTTGCTTTTGGAACAAAAACTTCAAATTTTTTATAATAACTGCACTTAAATTACAAATACTTAAATCACCCATATTACACTATTTTCCAAACTGTGATGATGTTATTTGGATGATTTCAACCCTGGAATTGCCTTTTTTCTGTTGAACAAAAGGTAAGGGCAGTTGTTAACTCCAAAACTACCACTAAATGACATTATAAGGTGCATTTTAAGCTTTGTAGATATAGACAGACGAATAATACAGGATTACTCAAACATGTATGAATGAAACAAAACAGAAATTAGATTTTGGGTGTGAATTAAGTTATTTCAAAACTCATTCGTATATCATTTGTAATAACTTACTGATTAATTATGAAGTCTTTGTTCGTGCCTTAAGGCTAATTACATTGTAATTATAAAGTTTTATTCATTGCTGTTAAAAACAAAAGTAAAGTAAAGTCTGAGCACACTGAGAAACTGACAGTCTTTCCTTCTTGCATGCTAATCTCCTACAGGTGTCTTCTGTAGCAGTTGCAGGTAATTTGTGGTGCAGCTGTTACATTAGTAAATTGGAAGCCTAGTTTGATTTGCATAGAGGTTCCTGGAAAAAGATGAGACATTATATCCGTTACCCTCATAATTTAACACTAAAATGCCATAATGCTAACCAGAAGAACAAAATGTTCAGACTTTTTGCCTCTTTTCGATTCTTTGTCCAGTCTTTGGCTTTAAATTACAAACTCCAAAATGATTTTTTCTGTAGGTTGTCTTCATCAGCACCGTGCCACTGCAATCAACACGTCACGCCAGTTTGTGATTACTGCACTCAACAGGGAGCACTGGTCGCTCTCCATTTAACGTGATTAGCATCCTCAGACAGCTTGTTTATCTGGGGTAAGAGCTACTGCACATGACCTGCCCCGAAACACCCAATTAGACCCAAGAGAAATACTGAAGGAGGGCTGCCAAGGCAATGACGGACCCCGCACCTCATTTTCCCCATGGTCCAGTGGACATTTCAGCTGATATATGTTTGTCAAATTCACCCGTGGAACATGAGGAGCTGTCAGCTGACCCACAGAGCACAAATGACAAGCTTGTCCATCCAGGTATATTAAATGTGTCAGTCTTGTTGTCTTGTTTGGTAACAGCCATGTAATATGGAGGTGATCAAAATGTGGCAGGACTGGTGAGACTTAAGTACAACCATTTTTCTTTTCTTTTCCTTTTTCTTTCTCTTTTCTTTTCTTTTTTTTTTTTTTTTTTTTTTGATTGGTAGTACCTAGTAGTATTATGTGAATGACAGGTACATCCTAGCTAGGATCCAGAAAGGTCATATTGGGATGGTTTGGACAGTACAGAGAAATGGAAGTGGCTATAAATCTAATACCAAGAGCTTCCAGGAAGAGTCAAACAGAAGATGTGTACCCAAATTAGCAGAAGCCACGCGCCCTCTTATCTTGATGAATGTGTTCTATCTGTACACAATGCACTAATGCGCCACGTGGGGGCAGCTGTGTGGCTGTATAATCACCACAGGGCACGCACTTGACTGTGCCGGCACGAGTCAAGTGCCATTAAGTCATTTAGTCTAAGCCAGGGTCTCCGCGCGATCTTCATTTAGAGCTTAAATGTCAAGGATTTGACCTAAAAGTTCAGTTACACACATTTACAAAGGTTTTAAATGGTCATACAATTATACAGCGCAAGAGGTTTGTTAAGAAATCACTTAGCCTAATTAATCCTCTTCGTCCCTATTGGGATAGGGCATAAGGCGACAAGAAGTTAAGAAATTATCGTACGATTAAACTCTAAGATTCTGCACACACTCAAAAATCTAGACTAGATTGTAGTCATCATAACTCACGACACTGAGGACAGCGTGATAATATCTTAGAGAAATATTATTTTGAGTGATGGGTAATCTTTTCACAGTTGAGTGAAGTGTATCCTTTCTGAATAATAATTATGATATTAATATTCATGAATAGGCTATTAATTAAGTTCCCTGGGGATTTACGGTCTTAATTTAAATGTGTAAGTGCACCTTTTGAGTAAAACTGAGACTGATGAGATAAGACACGTTTGACAGCTACAATTCACCACACACTGAAACACTTTAGCTGACTTTCGACACAAATATTCTCAGTTCGTGGCGCCATTAACAGGTTACGAGCATATTTTCAGAATGAGCGTTTTCATTCACCGTTAGCGTCCAAAAGATCCAACCAATGAGACTGTTTCTCTGTCCTCCCCTCCCTCTTTTCTCTTCCACTCAAACGCAGCCCACGCGCCGCGTTATATGACTTTGGAGCGCTTCTGCCAACGCTCAGTCGCTCTCATCAAGTGGCACACCCGCTCCACCGTGCGCCATCATACAAACCCAACCTCTCCACCCGCGGAACGCACTGGGCACTGAGCCCAACAACATTTAGTCCCGCTTTGAAAGTTGAGATGCACGATGATTGTTTCTCAGCTTTACGCATAAGCCTTACGCACAAGCGAAACTAACTCAAGAAACTGTTTTATTGATAAAACATGGACGACGTTTTAGCTCGTAATGTGACTTTTTCTGCGCCCGAGTGCGTCGGAGCACAGCCTGATGCGCAGCACAATGCGACCTCTTGGAACTTGGAAACATCCAACATGAACTGCAGCAACGCGTCCGTGCTACGAGCGCAGTACGTCAAGCACCGGGGTAAGACCGCACGCACCAACCAACATATTGATTTAAATTTTGCCATACTGAAAATTAACGTTGTTTATTTATTTATTCTCTAAAATTCAAAGTGTTCGTAATTCAGAGCTTTTGCAGTGTTAAATCCCACTAAACTGCATTTCCCAGGTTGCCTATTTCATCCCTTAATGTAACAGGTCTGATCTGCCGTAAGTGGACATTTCCCCAAAGTAAAGAGCTGTTAATGTGTGAGCTATTTTCAGTGAATCCCAGAGAGACAGGCAGTGACAGAGGGGTCAGACCGACAGGATCATGCAGGGCATCCTTGTCCAGGAGGATTCTGACTGCGTTATTTGTAGCATCTGCTCAGACATACTTGGCAAAATAACACGTGTGGCTGTTCCAGCCCTATAGAGAAATACTGGACTGAAAAACCAAACAAAGTCAATAGGAGTTAATTAAGGATAACGGGGGGCATGTAATTGGGAAATAACTGAATACTTGTACTGAGAATATGTATTTTGAATACTATTTTTGGATACTGTATTGTGTTTTTCATTTGGTGGTATTCAGAATCACTTTTCTAAAATCAAAGGAATACATGGTGATAGTTGATCACACAATTTAAGGTTCAAACTACACAAAATTAGTGAGAGAAATATAAAATACTGCTCTTGTGGCTCCGTGTAAGTGTGATTTTTCCTTCTCTGATCAGTGATGAACACATAATAAACAGTGAAACAAATATAAAGCTGACACTATTATTTAAAAGTGCACTGAGCAACATTTCTAGTGGAGGGTCTGCCACCTGCTTGTCTCCATGGAAATGTTATTACCTTGTCTAGAAGGTTTAATCTGTACTGTGGAACATATCTGT